AAAAAAAAAAAAAAAAAAAAAAAAAAAAAAAAAAACAGCACATGTGCAATTGCACTTAGGTAGGAAAAAAAAAAAAAAAAATTTGAAGCCCAGTTTAGCTAGCTGGGAAAAAAAAAAAAAACCTATTAATCACAATGGCATTCGAATGGGCATATTTACGGCGGGCAACACGCTGAAGGTGGAAAAAGACAGTGGGGCAGCGTGCCTTGAGTGCGGTTAAGTGTGCGATTCTCACAGAGTGGGCATATTACCCCAATTGAGCGAGTCCGAGGTTCGCGAAATATAGGCGATTGTCGACGCGATCAATGGGGGATACGTTGAAGACGGTCAACAGGACAACGCTTCACCAGCGCAACAGCGCAACGCTGCAAAGTAGGGTTGCCCCACGATGACGGTACTGACCGTGCAGATCGGCCAATGCGGCAACCAGCTGGGTCACGCGTTCCTGGACACGATCTACAAGCATGTGAGCTCTGCAAAGAACGAAGGCTTCAGGGCGAAGCTGGCGGACATGTACTTCGAAGAGGAGTGCGATTATGGAAACAACCTCCTACCAGTGATCCAGTATACAGACAACAACAAAGGTAGGAAGTCGCTCGTAAGCGAAAGCAACGAGGTCATGTGTTTGAATAATTACATAGCAAGGTCCATCCTCATTGACATGGAGCCGAAGGTTATTGAAAAATGCCTGTACCAGACTGCCGCCGACGAGAGGAGAGCCCCCCTGCACAGTACGAATGTGAATAGGACGAACAATAAGAAGAAGCAGCCTCATGCTATTGCTGGGGATTCAGAAGGACAGCATAAGTATGTGTGCGGAATGGAGGAATACTACGAGCCCTCAAACAACTTGATGAAGGTGTTCTCCAGGGGGGAAGACAGTCAAGAGGAGGTAGAAGAGGAGGAAGAAGAGGAAGACGGCGATGAAGCCTTCTCACGAGAGAAGCCTCAAACGAAAGGGAACAGCAAAAAGGAGTACCCAATAAACACGTGGAAGTACAATAAAAGAAACTTCATTTACGGCCTGAACGGGTCAGGCAATAATTGGTCTTACGGATTTAATGTGCATGCAAAAAACATATGCGAAGATTTTCTCAATTTAATACAAAAGGCAATGGAAAGTAATGACAGCAAAGAAGGAGTGGACAACATCATCCTATTTCATAGTCTCGCAGGAGGAAGTGGAAGTGGAATCAGTTCCTATCTTTCATATTTGCTGAAGGATGAATATGCCTCAGTCAATCTGATCAATGTTTGTGTATTACCATACATGTTTGGGGAAATCAGTGTGCAAAGCTTAAATTCAGTGCTTTGCTTATCATCTTTGTATGACTCGTCTGATGGCATTGTACTTTTGGAAAATGACAAATTTGAGTTAATGTGTAAAAGGATGAGTAATGAAAATATTAACACGGAGGAAATAAATCGACACATAAGTCTTTTCCTGACTTACACCCTTGGTTTGCCTCTGGACTTTGCCAATGTTAGCCGTTCTGGTGGGTCCAAGTATACAAATGCTATGAACTCCATCTTGACTGACCTTTGCAGCCACCCCAGTTATAAATTCCTCACCACTCGATATCTCCCACAAGTGTTTGAGGAGAACAGGAAGTTTGAACAGAACACTTTCAGTATGCTTCTTAAGCGCATGCACAAGATGGTTATAAATGGACGCATCCTCGACTACGACGGGATGAGCGGTGCGATCAGCGGGGGGGTCAGCGGCGGGATTAGCGGCGGAGGCGGACTCTACCTCCCCGCGGAGAACTCTAACGTAGATCCATACTTCGTCCGACTCTCCTCCAGGGACCTGCACAAGAGCTGCGCCTTTTTGAAGCGCGTGCACATCCCCCTGCACCTCCGGGAGTCTCTCAGCAAGTCCTACGTCAGCGTCCAGAAGAATTGCGTGCTTCTGCGTCGTGGCCCGAAGAGTTACTCAGCGCGTACTCAGGGAGCTCGCCTTCCCCATGAATCCACACGTGGGATCCCCCCTGGTCGTATGCACCAAGGGAGCGGGCCCGCAGAAGGACCATTAGGTAGCACCCACTTCCGACACAACAATATAGTGTTTGGCTCCAAAATGATTCTGCGTGGAGAGCTCCAAGAAAATATCAACTTTGATTTGTTTAAGAATCACGTGTTGTACAACCACAAGTCTCTCAGCCCCATGGAGGTCTACATTGACGAGAGCAAGGACTTCACATATAACAGCTTGGCGATGGTATCGAATTGCTTAACTCCGGTTCCTACGCTCAAGAAAATTCTGCACAGTGCGAAGATGCTATACGCCACGAATGCGTACATGTACCAATACAACAGCTACGGCGTGTCGCATGACCACGTGCACAGCTCGCTCATAACGATGGATCAGATCATCAGCGCGTACGAGGGGCTGTCCTGCGAGGTGTAGCAGGAAGAGGGAGAAAAGGGGGGCAAAGTCAGCAAATGAGCAACGCGGCGATATGCCGTGGAGAGGAAACGTCTCCAGTCCCTGGGAATTCCCTACCTTTAATTGTAACCACATGTTATATATATCAGTACGTGCCCTGTTCATCCGCTTTTTTTTTTTTTTTTTTTTTTTCCCCCTCTTCGTATGTTTGTCCTGTGCGAACTACTATAACTCCTGGTTCAGCTTAAAAAAATTAACTAAATTCTGAAACTGCGTGAGGTCTTCCCCCTGGCCAGAGTGATCTGCCTCCGGCTGGGTCTCTCCATTTTTAGCCATCTCTCCCATTCTATTAGATGTTTTATCACGGGGCATCTGCCTGCTTCGTCCATCCATGTATTTGTCTTCTTCTCTAACAGGCTGAAAAGCGAAGCTGCTCTCCTCGTGGGTTTGTAACAGTGTGTTATTACCTCCTCTCTGTGGGACGTAGTGATTGGTTAAAGCTCCCTTCCTGGAGTTACTTGCTCTCATCGCTGTGTTATTTTTTGCTCCCTTTTGGTTACGCCTCGAGACATCATCATCGTAGTTCTGTTCTTGATAATCGCTCTGCCCCCCCCTGCGATCTATGTCTTCAAAACTTCGGGGGGTCCTAACAACACCTCTGAACTTTTCCTCAAATATATTGTCCGCATTTTCAACCTGATAGTTCTGTTGCTTTTCTATCCTCTTGTCAATGTGTTTCTGAACCCATTCCTTGAAGGAGTGCTCATCGAAATTATAATTAAACCACATGCTTTTGTCTGCGTGGTGAGCCCACGGCTTCTCTCGAGTGTAATCATACTTCAGGAAGACTTTGTTTTCTCGCGTGGCTCTCTGCACCTGTGTCTCGAGGTCTACGTCGCGTGGTGCTTCCTGCAGGGGTGGAAGGGGAGAAAGTTACTCCAAGTGGTGATATTATTCGGGGGAGGATAAGCAGTAACTCTGCACGTGGTGTTTGCTTCGAGGTATGGGACACGGATGGATGAGGGCGTCATACATCATTTCCCCTCCACTGCCTCTCTTCATTTATCTTACTTCAGCTTCTGCCTTGGCAAATTCACCGTCGGCGGGGTCTCCCCTGCCATCTCCTACACGTAAGAAAGGGAGACAAACACAAAAAGGGAATAAAATTAGGGTTAAGTAGAGGCGACACTAGGAAAGAAAGAAGTGACAGAACAAAGAGGGCCCATGTGATCATTTGGGAGGGAGCCTTCCTCATGGGGTGGCAATTCCCACAGCCCTGCGCTTACCGCCGTGTTCCTCATTTGTTGGATCCTGTTCTCTGTAGAAGTCGTCAAAATTGGCCTCCGTTGAATTTCCAAAGATTATCACCTACAGGGGGGAGTAGTGACGATAAAATGTGAGTATGCGTGTGAATATTAGTGTGCGCGTGCGCGTGCGTGGTGGGGGAAGAGACGCCTACCTGGACGTTATCTTCATCGTCACTGTCCTCCATTGGGCTACCGATCTGGAGTTGGTAAGGGGTGAGAAATATGCCTCTCTCTCTCTTTCTCCAGAGTGTTTCCCTTGTAAATGGTACAAAATGTACTTTACTAATTAGCAGCAACAGGAGGAGTGGACAATGAATTGGTCTCCCCTTTTTTTTTTTGTGTGCCAGTTAAGATGCCACACGGACGAGTGCTATATATGTGCGCCTCGCTGCCCGGTAAGCGCGTTCACATATTTTGATTATTCAAAATGCGGTCTTCCCCATCACCCCCCTACATCGCATAATCTAAATTGTCGACGTTGGAGAGGCGGTTCCCACAATGTGCCATTCATAGGTTCCCCATATTAGAGGTAAATGGAACAACAAAAAAAATGTGACTGATAGTGGTGGGTGAACGTTTTGCTCATCGCTGCCTCCTGCTTCGCCAAATGGAGGGATAGTCAAATCATTTTCGCTCTTTTAAAAAAATTCCACTTAACCGATTTCGCCTGAACGGTTCAGGTAAAATGGGCGAAAAAAAAAAAAAAAGTTACCTACACTGTGCAGTGAAGTTGGGGCTGTTGTGTTCTTTCCACTTAGCTGGTAAATCACCACAAAAGGGTATAGGTGTACACCATCGAAACGACCTTTCGGTGAAAAAAAACGAATCATTGTTTTGAGGGCGTTTGGTATACCTAGTTATTAACCTCCAGCGGGAAATTTGAAAAAAGGACAAAAAAAAAAAAAAAAAAACGCTAGCACGGGGCTGCAGTGCGGACGACGGGGAAAAAAAAAAATAAAATGAACAAACAAACAAAGGAGAAACAAATAAATAGGAGAACGAATGGGTGTCCGAGCAGCTCACGTACCACGAACACACAAAGTGGGGAAATTACTTTCCCCCATTGGGGGCGACGATCCGCTGCGCTACTTCTGCGCAACGTCTCGAGTGGAACTACTGGGGTGGCGGGGAAATCCCTGAAGAGTAGACCGACAGGACGTCCGCCGACGTGACCGCGCGCTGCCCCCCGGTTCTCAAATCCTTCAGGCAGAACACTCCAATGTGCTCATCGAAGAAGAAAAAAAAATTTGCGCGCATGGAGTTGGCCTTCTTCAGCGCCTTCGAAAGGCTGCTGTTGTTGGTGCCCTGGAGGAGGGAGTACACGCGCACACCGTTTCTGCGTAGTGTGTCCACTATGTGGAAGTGTTCCCTTTGTATGAGGGTGCAGGGGGGGTGGCCAACATGTTTCTGCTCCACCTGCTGTGTCAGGGGCGGGAAGAAGCTAACCACGTCGACGTTCTTGGAGAGCTCGTCGGCTAAGTCTCCCTCTGCGTTCCGCCCATGGCGCGCTTGGCTGTTGAATAGAATTTCCGTGATGACGACGTCCCCCATCCCCAAACCCACTGCACACACATGCTGTCCCTCATTAAGAAGGTAGGTATATCTGCCTCCGCCGCAAATTGCTCTGTACTTTTTGTGCCTGTAGAAACTCTCAAAAATAATATTTGTGTAATAATCCATTCCCCTAACAACAGTTAAGTCGATTTCGAAGTAAGGGTTTAAATTCATGTCCTGAAAATAACTTAGCACTGTGTGCAAATCGGAAAAAATGACCTTCTCTGGAAAATTAAAAAATATTGCTAGGTCAGGTAAACTTTGTATTTTTGCAATGACATTGAAGAAATTGATCATTTCATGTTTGTGCAAGTAGGGCATTTTCCTTTGAAACAAAAATTTAAAAGTACCACTGGATATTTTTTTATATTTGTCTAGGTTGTGTAAGACATTTTGAATGACATGGTGTTGAATGTAGGGTTGTGAAAATTCACTCAAGGATGACTTGAAGATTTTTTTTATCATCTGTACAACAATTCTCTTGTCATTTATTTTTATTACCACGTCCCTGGGGTGTAGGTGGACTCGCTGGAAGAAGGAGATCAACATGGTTAGTATTTCAACATCTGCATCTAGCTGTTCTGTTCCTACGATATCCACATTCCATTGGTAGTGCTCCCTTTTTCTACATGTGGTTGTTTGTTCATATCGGAAGCACTGACCGATGGTGCTCATTTTGTGTACCTTGCGGAGGTTGTGCAGTCGGTAGGGCTTGAGGCTCACACGGGGTGAGGGTGAGCTGGGCATGGCGGCCGTTGTTACTTCACTTTGGGATGGCGGCGGACACCCAGCTTCCTGATCAGCCAACTGTGCAACTGTATTAATTTTGTGGCGGTGCGCTTGCTGTGCCCTCTCCTCGCGCACGAACAAGTGTCTCACCAACTGGGGAGTGATTTCAGGGCGCAAAATCAAATGACGTTTATTTTTTACAAAGTCGTATGCCTCATTTATTTTGCTGTTCTGAAAAATGGAGTAGTCCTCCAGCACCGGCAGGTCATAAAAGTCGTAGGAAAAGGCCTTGGCTAGTTCCTTCCATGTGTTAAATATGTACTCTCTCTTTGCGTAGTCGCTAGGGTTGAAGGTCCTGATGCCTCTTACTCCTTTCAGGCTTATGTTTGTGTTGTGGGAGGAACGTTGGTGGTAGGGTGCAGACTTTTTGGCCCCGGGGTTGTTCAGGAAGGGCCAGACGGGATGGTTTATTATGCCCTGTTCAGGGGTACGCAACGAGAGGACTTGAATGAGCGTCGCGAGGACCAGGGCAAGTCTCGCGAGCATGTTGAGAGGGGGGCTGGCATGGGATGTGGCGGCGGTGTTATTTGCGGTGTGGCAGGGGAAAGTAGCAGCGGGGTGATTAGCGGCGTGGCTTCTGCTCAACCCGACGTGCCAACTCCCCTAGGCCACTCTCCACTGCCCTACAGCCCATTCGAACTCATCGTAATACGGCCATGGAAAAGGGATCCAATAACCACCCGCAGATCATCACGGACGTGGGACAGGAAACTACAAAAAAAAAAAAAAAAAGGGGACACTGAGCACGAGATCCTTCCCCGCAACGGTGATGAGAACGATGGTGGTGACAACTTGTTTTTTTTCCCCTTTTTACCTTAATATGTGTAACGAATAAGGGATCATTTTCATGGTTAGAGGGGGGTTAAGTTAAGAATTTGTATAATTATTTTCTTTAAAATGTTTGAGCCCACTGAGGAGAAAAGTCGCTGCTCACGTGGTGGGTGTGTCACATTTGCGACCTCGTTTTTGCAGGTGGTGCTAGGGGTCGAAGCCGTTTATTTTATTTTATTTTTTTTTTTTTTTCACTAACCTCCGTTGTGGTAATTGTGGTTGACCATCTGTTCATCCCTCGTGTTGCTTGCGTTGGTTCTACCTTTCCGCTCCACCGGATTTGGCACAACATGTAGGGGGTTCTGCCTAGTCCATCCTATTGGTCATCTGCAAAAAGTTAAGCTGCGGGCGAGCCATTGCGTGTACACCTTTTTTTTCGTCTCAGCAGGGAAGATTGGCTCCCCCATGCTGGTCACTCCTTGCTCCTCGTAATGAGGATATCAAAAAGGGAAAAAAAGGGGAGTAGCAGCTGCAAGGTGATAATTTTTTTTTTTTTTTTTTTTTTTTGTTCCCCCCCCCATTTGCTGTTCCCAGTTGTGTTTTTACTCCGTTGTGCACGGTAACGCAGTGGCCCCCCCTTTTGGTAACCGTTGGGGTGAGGACTGCTTTTGCCCTCATGGGCGGAGAGAAAGGGAAAACGAACTACACGCTGCGTAAGCCAAACGAACCACACGCTGCGCAAGCCAAACGAACCACACGCTGCGCAAGCCAAACGAACCACACGCTGCGCAAGCCAAACGAACCACACGCTGCGCAAGCCAAAGGAATCAAGCGCTGCAAAACTGAACACTGTTAGCTTCCTGCTGCGTTGAAGTGGAGCGGACCGACTGAACTGCCCTGTGCGCGTTAACGATGGTGGTCTTTCACCTGGATGACCTGGAGGTGTTCTTCCCCTATGATTACATATACCCTGAGCAGTATGCATACATGCGTTACTTGAAGAAGACGCTGGACAGCGAGGGTCACTGCGTGTTGGAGATGCCCACGGGTACGGGTAAGACGGTGGCGATTTTTTCCCTCATAACGTCCTATCAGTATAAGAAGAATGACGAGGGGAAATTTATTTTTTGCACGCGTACGGTGGCCGAGATGGAGAAGTCGCTGATCGAGCTGAAGAAGGTCATTCAGTACAGAGTGGACACGGTGCGCCGGCGCGCCGACTCCAGTGGGGCGGCGTGCGCAGCGACTAACAGCAACGCTGATGGGAGCAGCGGTTGTGGCGGCGGTGGCGGCGGCTTCGCCAACTTGGACGTGCCCCCGGGGGATATTGTCGCCCTCGGGATCAGCGCTCGGAGGTGCATGTGCGTGAACGAGCGGGTGCTTAGGAAGCACGAGCGGGAGAGGATAGACGAAGAGTGTCGCAAGCTGACGGCGACTTTTGTCCGGGAGAAAAATTACATAAACCAGAAGATAAATAAAATGGGTAGCACACACACCGATAAGGATCGAATCTCAGATTTCATTTTAAAGAACAGGCAGCACATAGATGTAGAAGATTATTTTGATGTTTATAACACTACGAATTCGCTGGAGGAGTATGGTGAGCTAGGGTTGTGTGGTTACTACGAGAATTATAAAAAGGAATTTGTATTAGACTTGGTTCAACCCGGTGTGTACACCATAGAGGATTTGAAGGTAATGTGTAAGGGTTATAAGAATGTACAGAATGTAAATGTGCCCATTTGTCCTTATTTTTGTGCAAAGAAAATTATCGAGGTGGCCAAAGTGGTAGTATTAAATTACCAGTACGTAATTGACCCTAAGGTTTCCAAGTCCGTTTTCATCGGGCGGGATGTGAACAGTCGGGTCCATTTGTACAAGAATGACATCATTGTGTTTGATGAGGCACACAATATAGACAGCGTTTGCCTGGAGGCCCTGAGCGTGAACATTGACCGGAACATCCTCAACAGAGCGACTTCAAATATTAAGAAGCTTTTGAGCAAGATTGAGACTTCCAAAATTGTAAATGAGGAGAAGGTGCGGGAGGACTGCAACCGCATTTTGCAGAAGTTGCGGGAGGAACGCGGGATGGATCTTAAAGCGGGTGCCGGCAGCGAAGTCAAAGCGGGCGCCGCTAGCCAAGTCAAAGCGGGTGCCGCTAGCAACGTGAAGAAGAGGAAGATTGAAGAGGGGAAAAACGGGGCGAGCGGGGAAGGGGGAGAGGTGTACTTCGATGAAGACCTAAATTTGATTTTTGCTGGGGGGGCCAATCGCAGTGGAGTGGAGGACGGCGCGTGTCGCGGGGATGTGAATGGGGGAGAGAAGCAGGAGAAAGGGGAAAGTCTAATGGACGGGTTGGCAAAGTTACTGGGTCAGTCGATTGGGCAGCTACTTCCATCACGACAGGAACGTGAGCAAACAGAAGTTGGTGGTTTATTTCCCGAGGGGAACAAGGGCGCCCTCAACAGTGATGCAAATGATAACGCAAATGATGGTGACAATGACGGGGGAGACGACCCCACCGATCTGCATTACAGCCCCCTGCTACTGGAAGACATAATAAAAAACATCGTGCTGCCGGGAAACATTCGCAAGTCGGAGCACTTTTTAAACTTAATGAGAATCGTTGTGATGTATTTGAAAAAGTATGTGAACATATACGAGATAACCTCTGAAGGTCCACTGTCCTTTTTATATAAATTTGAAAAGGAGACAAAATTGGATACTTGTTTTTTTAAATTTTGTTTTGACCGTTTGAAGTCCATTTTAAATGCACTTCAGGTAGTGCATGTAGATGATTACTCAGCATTAAATATTGTGTGTAACTTTTGTACCTTGTTAGGGAGTTACTTTCAGGGTTTCATTATTATATGTGAACCTTATCCTGAGGCCACAGGTATATATGACCCCGTGATTCAGTTCGCTTGTTTAGATTCATCCATCGCAATGAAGTCAGTGATTAAAAAATATAAATCTGTTATTTTAACAAGTGGTACAATTACCCCATTAGAGTTATATCCTAAGTTATTAAATTTTAAGACTGTGTTAACAGCATCTTTTCCCATGTCATTCGACAGAAACTGTGTGTGTCCTCTGATCGTCACGAAGAGTTCAGATCTCGTTCCTCTGTCATCTCAGTTTTCTTTACGAAGTGATATAACTGTTATTAAGAATTATGGCATGCTGCTTGTGGAGATGTGCAAAACTATCCCCGATGGTATAGTTGCTTATTTTCCTTCATACATTTACATGGAGGAGGTTATTTCTTCATGGTATGAACTAGGCATTATAGCAAATATCCTCGAGTATAAATTAATATTTATTGAAACCAAGGATATAGTTTCTACTACAATTGCTCTGCACAATTTTAAGAGGGCATGTGATTTGGGCAAAGGAGCTGTTTTTTTATCCATTTGTCGTGGGAAAATTGCTGAAGGGATTGATTTCGATAAACATTATGGAAAATGTGTGATTCTTTTTGGTATCCCCTACCAGTATACTCTTTCCAGGATACTCAAATCGAGGTTAGACTTCTTAAAAGAGACATACAACATTCAAGAAAATGAATTTTTAACGTTTGACGCGATGCGCCAGGCTTCCCAGTGTGTTGGTCGCATTATACGAAATAAGAAGGACTATGGTATAATGATTTTTGCGGATATTCGTTATGCACGTAACGATAAGAAGAGCAAGCTTCCTCCATGGATTATAAAATGCATGGACATTTCTAATGTGAATTTAACTGTTAGCACGGCTGTGAATATATCTCGCAAGTTCCTTTTGAACATGTCTCAGGAGTATAAGGAGACTGGCCAGACGAAGCTCTCGCAGGAGCTCATTTGCAATCAGGCCAAGTGTTGGGCGCTCGTCAAATCGGTGCTCAACATGGACCACTTTATATGAATGGTGCGTTGCTTTTCTTAGCGGTCAGTACAGCGTGGCGTCTTCGTGCCCGGCTTGCCGCTTTGATCGCGGTATGGGTGCGGGCGCCGCTCACTTTTTTTTTTTTTTTGTCTTCATCAATCCATCTGTTTCCCATTTTTTTTTTTACCGCTTATCTAAAACAGCCTAAAACACGTGTGGCACCCTCCCGTGGAGTGAAGACACACTGCTTCGCACATTTTGTGAGGGTTTTTTTTTCATTCGTTAGCGAAGTTGCGCATACACGCACACACACACACACACACACACGTAGTGCTTCGTTTTCCCACCGGTGAATGTGCGGTGGCCTCACGAGAGGTACCTGCGCGCGAGCACATAGTGCAGGTGTTGATCGAGCTTTTGATTTGTCAGCGGGATGAAGTAGTCGAAGGCATGCAAGTATGTCTTGTAGTTGACGAAGGTGTTTCCATCTGCAACCAACATTTTTGGTATGAGGACGTTTCTAATGTAGGGGTAGAACAATGGGAGGTCGGTGCAAACGAGCAGGTCATACTTCTTTGTAACATTTGTTATTGTATTGTGATCACAGATGTCCTTGCGCTGAATGTTCTTAAAATAATTTTCCAAGTTGACTTCTTTGTGTTTGTTACCCACGATGATGACCTCGCCACCGTTTTCCTTCAGCAGCTTCAAAAACTTGTATGCCCTTTTTAAGTAGAGCATGCTCACGTAGGGGTCCACCACGTAGTGGTTGTTGATTCTGCTCCCGATCAGGTTGTATTGCATGGTGGGCCGAAGAGGGGCAGAAACGGACAAGCGAACAAAGGCGGCCTAGATGCGGTGTGTGTGGGGGAGCTTCCGTCGTTCACCTCTACTACGTTCTTTTTTCTCTCTTCGTGGCGCTGACCCCGTTTGACGTCCCTTCTATGTCATGCTCGTCTGGGGGAGAAGAGCAGGAAAGGCCTACGTTCGTTTGCACAGTGTTCCTACGTGGGGTCTCTCCGAACGACTGAACGTGGTAGCAGAGGCGAATGGTTCAGCTGCAAAGGGGGCAAGGTCCTCTAAATGCAGAAAAGCATCGCTTCGGTTCGGCACTCGCAAAAGGGGAAGAAAAAAAAAAAAGCACACATGAATATGAAGAGTAAAGGTTTCATCACATCAGGTTAATGTGCAGAGAAAAGCGCAAGGGACAAAAAAAAAAAAAAAAAAAAAAAA